TGGGTTTTTCAATCCATTTTATCCTATTCTTCTCTCTCTACATGCCTGCTGGAAACTCCAACACTTTGTGAAAATAAATACAAAAGCCTCTGAACGAATGCTGCAGAAATGCTGACGTCTCATCTCTTCATCAAGTATGCAAGACCAAGGCATTATTAATAAGTAAAGTGACTGTAAATGATGGGATATGTATGCTTGTGAGAATGCACAGCTCTGATGAAGAAAGGGGGAAATTACTCTTACTGTGTATTCAAGTAGCTTTGAGAGATGAATTGTTGCTGAAACACTCGATAACTTTCTAGAGATTCATCTCTTTGTGCAAATTATGTTCCAAGATGCTTTCCAGCCACAGAACAAAAAAAACAAAAAAAAAAAAAACTAGAGAAATCCTGCACCTGTTTTCACTCCACTTTTATTTGGAAAGGATTACAAAATAAAGGAACTGTGTGGACGGCTGAGGCACACCATGACTGCTGGGCTCACACTGATCCAATATTGCGCCTCTCAGTTGAATGTGCTTATTTACGGCCCTGTTCTCTCACAGATGTTGTTTTCAAAAAAATATGAAGTATGCTAAACACAAGTTTGACAATGCTGCTGATTAAATACCAGGGAACCTTTGTATCTGAAACATTACGGATGCAGGCTGTTGTCTTCCGACAAAAAGACAACAAAGGCCGTGGGTGGCAACAGGTGGTTTTATTTGAACGCACTTCCGACTTGTTTTGAAAAAATATATATGTGCTTTATTGCTTGTAAAAAATTAAAAAAAATAGCGACATAATTACTAAAAATCTCTTATAATTTGGTTGAAAATGAAACTTAATTTGATGTTTCAAGTTCAAAACAATCATTTACAAAACCTCCTGTCAACACACCGGACATTTGTCTAACAATAGACCTCCACCAAGCACCCTGTTTTGAACAAAAAACACATTCAACTCAACCTTTGTTAGGTAACATTTTTAGCCTTTTCGCTCCCTCTACTTCAGATGGTTGTCTCTAGTTTTACTTCACCTTGAGAGCAGCGTCACAGCCAGACAGGCAGGAGCTAGTATTGTTGGTTTTTTCAATGTGAAGTAACTTTTTACTGATATTTATTTAAATTAATTTCAAACTCTGCTTATGGTGAGTGGAACTGCACATATATTGGCTCTGTAAGCATCAGATGATTTTCATTGTTTTAACATATTGGAAAAAACAAAACAAAAAAAAATTATTTTGAAGCTGTGGCAGCTTTTATTTTGCCATAGCAGTGTGACACGATCAATTAAAGGAAACCCTGTACTGTATGGGAAAAAAAAAACATTTTCTATTGACAAAAACAGTAAGTATATCTTTAAAAAAGGAACTGTGTGGTGAAGAAACATAAATGTCAACATGCCCCTGCTCCAACATTTAAGAAATGTCAACAACATTATAAACTGAACAAAATCCATTTATTTTTTCCTACTGGGTTCTTATTGCTTCGGACCATCCCAGCCATCTTTAAAAGTCTGTAGTAACTATCCAAAGTCTAGGAAAGCTGCTTCCTAAAACAGATCTGTGCAAGACAACCTAAATGGGGACATTTTTCCTATTTTCCTGCAGTTCCTATTTGAGGTGTTTCCGCTGTCATTTTAGCTCTGAACACACCCTTTAGTAAAGCGCGTGTTTAGACAGGGGCTGGATCGTATTTCAGCCCGCTGCAGCCGTCCCGCCTGGGAGCGCTGTGTGAATACCAGGCGCTACATTCCACCAGTGGCCTGACTCGAGGTGGGGGGAGCTGACCAGAGGAGCTTTGTATGCAGGGAGGCCACGGCGGGCGGGCTGTACTTTCACCTCTGGATCGGATGGTCAGTGAGTTTGTAGCTGACTAAATAAGCAAAGGGCAGCCCAGGAAAATAAAACTCAAGGAAATAACTGTGGGGGAAATATGATGCGCCATTTTCTGTCTGTCATTATTTTTAACGAACAATCCCTGATCCGTTACAACGGTGTGGCTGAAACAAGTCAAGAAGGAAAAGAAGACGTTTCCACACTTCAGGTCACAACACCTCAGTTGATTTTACTGATGTGTGAAAAACGTTTTCACGCAGCCCATTAGCACAAAACACGTCATATACAGTAACCAATGAACTTGTGAGAAAACATAAGCCCAGTCAGACTTTTAATGTCCCACTGATGGTTTGCAAACATATGCCACTGTCACAGTTTCAGAAATATATTTAAAAAAAAGATACATAAACTGTGGACCACTTCGGTTTGGTTGATGTCATTGTTTGCCTTTTAAATTTTCATCAGATATTCATGGCAGCACTCTGCCAACATGTAATGTAAACATCAGAGGTTATGGTGACATTGTGTTCCTGCAGAGCTAAACTCTTGCTGAACACCAATTCTTTACTTACTAAACACCTACATGCAATAATGTGTTAGGCTTTTGGTTTAAAAATAAATTATGTAGAGATTACAAAAATACATTTGGCACTTAGTAACAACAACTCTAATAAAATGCAGTAACCAGTTTAAGGAATTAGAAAATACAATGAATTAAAAGGAAATTATTTCAACATTTTTGCTACCAACTGAAGTCCTTAAATTATGTCCCAGAAAGTGGGGAGTGTCCATAATGTCCTCCCACTGAAGCGCAGAGTAAAGCCCCTCTTCCCCTCCCCTACTTGTTTCTGAGCATTGTCAGTTAGCTGGCAGAAGCTGCTATGTTCCAAGAGAATTAAGCTATTTTTTTTAAAGGTTCTTATTTTAAACAATTTCTGCAAACTAAATGTGCCACTTTCTGTAACACCGTTTTAAAGTGGCAAGCTGCAAACAGCACGCCTGTCAAAGTCAATGACTGCAGGCTCCACCTGAGCAAACAGCTGACTGACTAAGCAGCTAATTGCTCCATAAATTGCTAAAAAAAAAAAAAGTTACTATATGTAGCCAAAATCATACAGTTTTAATGAAGCATACTCATAGTTATGCCCCTCCCTCCCCCGACCCCAAGAAAGATATGGATGTTGGGATTCAGTCAAAAACTAAAGTCAAACGTGGTCGTCACATGCTTACAAAACAAACAGCACACAGTTTATGTGGACTGATTAGTCACAAATTGGGTAAACCAAACCAGCTCCAGCTCCTGTGACAGACTGTGGGAACCAGCACATTCAGCCTACCTTATACACGTCTCCATATGTTCCGCTTCCCACCCTCTGGATGAGCTCGAAGTCATGCTGGGGGTTCCTCCTCTGGATTTCGCCGCTCGGCTGGGGATAGACGTCCATGATGGCGTGAAACCGAGGGGGTCCTTTACATTTAGTTGGCGCGGCTGAACGCGGTGCGGGCGGCGGAGAGGGCGGTCTCGACCAATGCTACTCAGACGGCGCCTCTCTGAGCTCCATGTCCTGACGCAGAGACAAAAAGTTTGGGAAAGTGCTAAGCGGGCTAAATTAAAAGTTTTAATCCCACGACGCGTTCTCCTTTAGAGAGACCAAGTGTTATAAAACGCCTCTTTTTTGTTAGCGGCGCGGTACTTTAAGCCCTCAAGACCAATTGAGTAATCAATTTTGGCTCAGGGGAGTTTGTTTCACAACAGACTCACTCTACAAGCATCACTTTGCGATACTTTTGCCAGGAAAATTGTGGACGTTCCAGCAAATAGCCGCAGCCAGCCAACAGTTTAGCGACGGGGCACGTAGGCTAATGCTAGCTAGCGCACAAGCTCAGCTCTCCGCCTGCTTTTAACTTCAAACCGGGCTTACCTTTCTCAACGCAAACACAAAATGTCTCGGTCCTGCATTTTGAATCCCCTCCGAGTCTTTACCAATTGTCGCGGCGTCGAATAAAGGCTTCGGAAAGTGAAAAATGTTGCTCCTTTGTTATCGAGGAAACAGTAGTAAACTTCAGTTGGCTGCAGCTCACCCCCGTCTCTTTTAGAGCAGAACAGGCGTCACAGTGCACTTCAATCCCCCAGAAATCTCAGCCCCAAGTTCCCCCGTCGACATGTCATTTCCCTCCGCTGGCAGCTTTAAAGAAGCTCCGACTTTATGTGTTGAACTCCATCGTCACGTCGCGCTGTTAATAGAAGTGTTGTAAGAATTTAGTGAGAGAAAACGCTCTCTTCTGAAGCAACAGTGTCCTGCTAATCTCTGCTGTCGATGGTCTGTGTCTTGCGGTGCATTCAGGATACCAAGAAAAATTAGACCGGCGAGTTTTTAAAACACAATCGTCCCGTTATCCAGATTTGAAACTTGCAGTTTTCGCTAGTCAATACCTGAAATGCATTTATGCTGATTACTCATACAAAACACGACAGTGGTTATATAATTTATATAAAATGCGAGCGGCAGAATACCATGGACTTCAACTTTAACTAAATAATAAATTTAATCTTTTTTTACAAGACATATTAGTTGTTTTTGTAGTTTAGTTTACAGTCAGTCGTTCAATTTCGTCCATCACCACTTTCATTTCGGACCTATAGACGGAGCTTTTTGTAACTACGCACGGTAGTTTGTTATGCAAGGACAAAAGTGTCAATTGAAATCCATATGAAAAAAATTTAGTACGTCGATAGTCATAATAATTCTCAATGCTCACATCCAGTTAACATTTATTTATGACTTTGTGTCGCATGCTATTTATTATTGGTCCAGATGTAGCAGATTCGTTTTGATGAAACTGAAATGACTGTGAAAACCACAAAGGGATTAAATGACGAAATAAGAAGTACCTTTCCCTTTTCCTATCGCATAAAAAACTCCGTAATGTCCCTGAAGGCAGCATGGGTTCCAATATTTGGGCAATGTCGCCACCTACCGACAAAAATATAAACTGCACGGACAGTTTAAAAAAAATGTTCACCACTGCAAAGCTAATATTCGACCTTTTTTTTTTTTTTTTTTTTTAATAACTGAGGCATTTGCACATACTGTACACTTTGTGCGCAGTTTTAATCAGGCTCCATTCGCCACTCAGTGCTGGGACAACGGACTGCAGCGCCCTCTGGCGACGAGATCAGCGTCTCACGCGGTGAATAAAAGCACCATCATCCTCCCGCAACAGGAACGTCGTTGTGCTGGAGATAAGGGCATCCTCCCAGCTCTGCACGCTCATGACTACCGACTAGGGCCGCTCATTTACGCTTCGAGCCGGGCGACAACAGGACCGCATCATGGTGAAACACCGTCCCGAGAGAGACAGCTGGGGTGAGTGTACGTACAAAAAAAAAAAAAACATGTTCACATGTCACACAAAGGGTGGAAACGATGCAGCGCTCTGGGTGTCATAAGCTCCGGTTTGTTTTCGTTTTCGGGACACTGAGACCAAAAGCTGCTCCGTGCTCCGGCGTCTGCACCTTGTTGGTCTGGAAGGAAACGCGGTGCTGCAGTCGACCTCTGCAGAAACAAGGAGACCCGTTCATTTTAAAAAATATATATATATTACCATTACAGAGATGAAATGCGGTGATTGGTTGACAGGAAGCGCTCTGCTGGGACAGCTTAGGCCTCTGCAGGCCCAAAAATCACAGTTTAATTCACAATGTTGACAGTTACTGTTTGATTTTGTTGTTGCTGCTGAAGCTGTGCGATGCCTTTGAGGTAAAATGGATGCGATCCTGCATCAGAAACTCCCAAATCTGCTATTATCAGGGGTGTAGTGGTTGCCAGCATCCACCTCTGACATCACTTTAGAGTCCAAGCAGCTTGTGAGGGGGTTGTGGGGGAGGCCTGTGTGAGAAACGAGGGGGAAAGATGAAAATCTGCTGCTGCTGTTTGCCATCAGAGTTGAGCCGCTCTGACCCACTTAATTCGGCTTCTGACGTCTTAAGCAGTTTTGAAGGCAGTGGCAGGATCAGGTCGTCTGCTGGGCCTGGGAGGAGGCCCCTGCAGTGGGAAACCGAAGCGGAAGAACGGTTGCTCGGATCAAGTTGTTCTATGTTGCGTCTTCTGACACGACCCGAAACGCTGCCTGCTCCCAGAGCTTCACGGGAGCTAGACTTTAATTTCAAGTCACTTTCTGGAAGACGACATCACATTTTCCTAAAGCGCAGGCCGGGTGGTTGTGGTAGATAGCTACAGTGTCTTCCTTCCTACAATAGACCAAAAAAAAAAAATAGTGATGCATATTTTGTGTTTATTATTTTTAATGTATAAAGTTCAGAAAAAATGTTGTGTCCGCATTGTATTGAGCTCCCTTTACTCTGCTACACATAAATAAAATGAAATGAATTTGTTTGTAAACAGAGTGCAGTGTTTAAAAAAAACAGGTTAGCTCCTTAGTTTGGAATGGTAAAGTCCAAATTGTATTGCCATTAATAATCTCAGATATGTTGTTTTTAAGAGATGCTTCCTATCCAAGCTGTTTGAGTTATTTAAGAAGCATGGATCGTCTGCAAATATGTCAGCTTCTTTGCTGCTCGGAAACACTCAGAGCTGCTGCTCGGAAACCTTTTAGCCCACATGATCTCATTGAGCTCCGACAGATTGGACGGACGCAGTGGACTGATTCAGTATAATGAATATCATCGCTTGCAAAAACGGGGGTTTGTCTTTCCTGCCTTCTCTCTTAATGGACGGCCAGATCTTTCACAGCGGGCGGAAACTGCTGGCTCCTCTAACAGTTTCACAGCGACGCCTTCTGGTCGCCTCGTCGCGTTGAGCTCACGCCCCCGATTTGTCCTTCAGGGTCCCTGAGCGACAAAAATGTCTACGAGTGGAGCTCCGAGGAGGAGCCGGACGGACGAGCCCGGCCCATCCAGGTGCTGCTGGTCAAAGACGACCACACCTTCGAGCTGGACGAGGCGGCGCTGAGTCGGATCCTGCTGTCCGAGGAGGTCAGGGACCGCGAGGTGGTGGCCATCTCCGTGGCGGGAGCTTTCCGCAAGGGCAAGTCCTTCCTCATGGACTTCATGCTGCGCTACATGTACAACCATGTAAGTGCGTGTGACTCCTTGTTGAAGCGGTTAGAGGAAGTGTGTTAAAATAAATTCTGGCCTATCGAGGTTTACAATGCCGTTATGTCATAGTAAAGGTAGCACCCCTAACAGGGGTGGTATTATGTAAAATTGATGCTATAATGTTATTCCTTTCTCAAAAACATACCTGGAGTGTTGCTTTGAGTTTTTCATGCATGTTTGAGAAATCCCTGAATCTCCTGTAGCCACCATTCAGCTGTGCAAAACGCCTGGGGGGACCTAGCTCCGCCTTTGAGACAAAGCTCCTCCTCCTCTATCAGTCCTCACACTCAGTTCCTTCAGACTAGCCAGCAGCAATTAGCAGACACCTGGAGGAACTGCGCATCTGCTGAGCTGTAAAGAGAAACTTTTCAGTGAATCGCTGGTGAAAAATAAAAAAACTAAAAACATAGCTGAAGGGCTAATAGGGGCAGAGATTCAGAGAGAACATGAGTTTTTAAAGAGACAGAGGCTCAATTTCCAGGAATTAAATTAAATAAAAAAAGTAAATTCAGTCATATTTGATGTATATCACATTCTTCTCAACTTCCGAAGTTAAAAACGTTACTTGATTATGCAACCAAAAAAATAAATACTACTGCGCCTTTGGACTTTTTAACATTTTCTCAAAGCACAAGCACAAACTTTAAAGTGTTTCATTTGGTTTTTATATGACAAACCAACAAAAAGTGGTGGAAAAAATTTGACGAGGACTAAAACAGATTCCGGGATTTCCTTCCAGAAAAGTGTGGCCTGCATCTGTAGGCCACACGAATGCAGGTCGGAAGCATCATGCTGTGAGGACGCTCGTCTTTAAGCTTTTAGAACCGTTAGATAGCGACATTTCCCAATTTTAATTTAAAAAGAAAAATTTGAATGTTTTGTCAGATTTTCTATGCATTGGTTTATCATATAAAATTCCAACAAAATAGACTGAAATCTATATAATGTAGCAAAATGTAGAAAACTCAAAATGTATTTGTTCTCTGGATATTGTGCTGTTTAGAGTGTATCCAATACTTATAGCCTCACCAGTCGTACAGGTACAATCTGTTCTTTTCCATTGTTCATTCCCAGTCTAGTTTATAATTTAGCTGCACATAAACTTTGTTTTGTTGCAATCTTTCCTAATTGAAACAGCATGCCACTTGTCAGCAGATCAAGCATCAGTCTGACTAATAAATTGCCACACTCTGTTGCCCAGGCGTCTGAAAACTGGCTCGGAGATGCGAGCGAGCCGCTGACCGGCTTCTCCTGGAGAGGGGGCTCAGAGAGGGAGACCACCGGGATCCAAATCTGGAGCGAGGTCTTCCTGGTGGACAAACCAGACGGAAGCAAGGTCAGAGTAAACTCCTCGACAAAACAACAAGGGACAAGCAGAGACGACCGTGGCAACATTTGTACAAATCCTTCAAATAAATTCATTTTTACTGCAGTAGCATAATGGCACACTGGGGAAAAAGAAAAGGCTTTTTAATGTGAGTGCGTGAATTCGGTGGGGAACTGAATCAGACATTGAAGACGCCTCTAATTAGTAAATCCTGACTTTCCCTGGGGAATAAATTATGACGTGACAGGGACCCATATTTTTCTCGCTAATCAGTAGGATGATAAGGGAGGTAAGGAAAAAAAAAAAGTGCTGCAGCACAGATTGGTTTACCAAGTCTCCCTAACAACCATTAGACTCCGCTACGTGCTGACGCCTGTTTGTGTCCTACCTTCACATGTGGAGTTTACTGAACTCTTCTGGCCGTTTAAGTCGGACTTCGTGCTTTGGTCAAATGAGACGAAGGGTGAGCAACAACCTCTGAAGGTGGGTCAAGTATGACACGAAGGATGACTGGGGGAAAAGCATCACACGCCTACTGTTAGGAGCGATGAAAGACCTGTGATGCTGTGGGTTAGAAAATCAGGCCGTAGTGTCCAACATCAACGTCTGACCTCACCAATGCTTTCCTAGAAAAATGGTCAACTCTTCCCACAAGAGTTTGGATAGGATAGTTATTCCTCATGGACGACATTGGACTTTCTAAAGTTTTCTATTGAGATCTTAGAACTGCAAGAATAAAGTAATTTATTTGAAGGTTTTTTTTGGGGGGGAGGTTTTTTTTTCTCACATCTGTGACCGTAGAAAACATTCAGACACACAAACGGGTGAGTTTCTTTTCGTGTCCGATGACGCAGGTCGCCGTGTTGCTGATGGACACGCAGGGCACGTTTGACAGCCAATCCACGCTGAGGGACTCGGCCACTGTGTTCGCCCTGAGCACCATGATCAGCTCCATGCAGGTACCACAGTTTAGTGCCGCATGAGTGCACCGGTTGGCCGGAGAGGTTTGCAGGTCCATAGGAAGCAGCTGAACAACTGTACCCTGAATTTAAGAAGAAAAAAGAAAAACCTCCTCCTGTTTGTCTCTCTTACTCTGACACGACAACATTTAAAAATATCCTCAGCATGTCAGTATTGTAAGGAAACTGTCTCTTCTAGGTTTACAATATATCACAGAATGTACAAGAGGACGACCTCCAGCACTTGCAGGTAAAAAAAAAACACTTGCTTTGTATTCCAAAGCAAGTTTTGGAATACATTACCATTCAAAAACTAGCATTTCTATTGAAATTGAGTGTCAGCATGGTTTATCATCAAGTACACTATTATTGCTAACTTAAAGTGTGGAGCTGAAATCCAGTATTTCATCAGCGATGATGTTTGTTCTTTCAGCTTTTCACTGAGTATGGAAGACTAGCGATGGAGGAGACGTTCCTCAAACCTTTCCAGGTATTAAACAGGTTTCCAATTAAGTGCTGCTTTAAAACAAATCCACACTAAATCAAAAAATGTTTTTTTTTCCTTTTGGATTTGAAGCCATAATTTAGATGCTACACGTTAAAACAAAGTTGAAAGAGAACGGCCGTTTTAAACAGGACCCTATTGTGCAGAGCTACATACAGGTTTGTTATCTGTTCCAGTCCCTGATTTTCCTGGTTCGGGACTGGAGTTTTCCATATGAGTTTCCTTACGGACAGGAGGGGGGCATGAAGTTCCTCGAGAAGCGACTGAAGGTCAGTCGCTTCTGATTCCACAGTCCTAATTGCAAACGTACAATAAATTAGAATATCATCATAAGGTTCACTTATTTCAGTCATTTATTCAGGAATCGAAACATGTATTTTTCTCAATTATGTTGATTAAAACATACAGGGAATTAAAAATATATATATATATTTTTCTGTTAATTTATATTTAAAATAAATAGATACATAAAAAATAGTATGGCTCAAATATTATGTGACAGTCCATGTTATGGCCGATGAAGTCTCTCCATGAAGTCTGTTGCTCAACAAAATGTCACAGACATCCTAAACAATGAGGGCAATCTGCCGCTTACACATTACAGGAAAGTTAAGTGGAAGGAAAAAGTACAGTACAAAACCTTGCACCAGCAGCAAGGCTATCAGCAGCCATGACAGGATTTTTTTTTTCCCCATTATAAATTCTTTTAGGAAATATTTAGGTTTTCTTAGAAATAACTTTGAAAATGATTAGAAATGAACTCTTGAGCTTGTTCACTGTGATTGGAATGAGGCTGTTTGGTTTAGAGTGAAATGAATTCCAGAAATAAATGATCTTTTTGATAACATTCTACTTCATTGAGATGAGCTCGTCGCTGTTATAAGGTTAGGCTAATTAAATCGACCGTAGAACCAGAACCGTGTGCTTCTGCTGCAGATTTCAGAGAACCAGCACGAGGAGCTCCAGAACGTGCGAAAACACATCCACTCCTGCTTCACCAACATCTCCTCCTTCCTGATGCCTCACCCCGGCCTCAAAGTGGCCACCAACCCTCACTTTGACGGAAGAATTAAAGGTACATCAGCCTTTTTTATTTTTATTTTTATAGGGACAATGCAACCAGATAAACCGGCTGCTCCATTTCTTTCTTTTTTGGAAACGGCAGATCGGTCGATATTTGCGGTCGTCATCTCACTGTTGACGACTTAGCGACTTTGTTGTGTTTATCGACATTTTAGAAAAAAAAAAATGGTCTCACCAGTTTAGGTTTTTTAAAAATCGGTGATCGGCCAGGAGATTTCAACTGGTGCATCCCAGCGTGGAAGATGACTGCATGACACGTTTCATCACTGGGACAAAAACAAATGTAGACTTTGAACTCAGCATTTTTGCTTTTTATGTTCTTAAAATTTTGATTTTAATCTCTGACTTTAGGTTTTAAAATAGATTAAGAAATACATTCGTAAAAAAGCCCCGTGGCCCTTTAAATATTACGACAAATTGTTTGCGACTCTTGGAGGAGTCGTCAGTGAGGCATTCGGGTGTTTTTGGTGGGAAAGGTTTCACCACTGTTCCACGTTTTCATTTTTCTTCTTTAATAACGCAGTGAATTATACTTCAACACAGCTGAAACTTTCCTTCCTACACACAGGACGATAAATCCAGCGCGACATTTTCACATGTCCAAAATAAAATGCTGAAACAAATGAAACTCTTCCCAGATTATAACACAAACGGTTGGTTCTTCTCCAGAGATCGACAACGAGTTCATCAACAACCTGAAGATCCTGGTGCCCTGGATCCTCAGCCCCCGCAACATCGACGTGAAGGAGATCAACGGCAGCAAGATCACCTGCAGAGGCCTGCTGGAGTACTTCAAGGTCAGAACCGGTCGAGCGAATATGAGAGCATATCGTTTAGGATTTCATGCACCAAACGTTTCCTGACCTCCAATGTCTTGATGTGCTTCAGGCATACATTAAGATATACCAGGGTGAGGAGTTGCCGCATCCAAAGTCAATGCTGCAGGTACTTTTCAACTCGCCTGTGTTGTCTGACTGTGGAGGTCTGAGGCCTGCGCAGTTGAGAGAGACCTTTTGACATCAGTCCAAGTGACATCAGACATCAAACCTGTTTAGAGCCGCAAATGTTTCACCATCTTTTGAAGAAAAAAAAAGGCTGGTTGCAATTTTTGACAAAAGCGAGCAAAAGAAAATGTTTAAAAAACCATTTTTTCTATCTTTCTTTGTGTTTTCGATTTAAAAATAAAACAACGTTTTTGCAATTAAGTGGATATATGCTTTTTTTCTTTTTTTATTTGCTATAGGATGTTGATAAACACTATGAAAACGCCATTAAAAATTATTTATGTGATTTTCTCTAAACCACAGATATTTCAAACTCAAGGCCAGCGGGCCAAATGTGGTCCACCATATCTAGGCTTTGCGGCCCTCTAGTTGTTAGATAGACCGTCGAGGTAACACTTTTGTGCTTAAATATTTTTCAAATGAATCAAATCATTTCTTATTTGTATAGTGTGAAATTACATCAGTATGAAAAGATGTTTAATGTTGTTGAATTTCAAATCCATAGACGATATTTTAATAGGTAGTTTTATCTAAACATTCTGCCACAACCAGCCCTTTAAGGACTTTAAGTAACTTGACGCAATAAAAGTCACTTTTGCTCTGAAGTCTATACTTCATGTCTGCAAGTCAGAATTTCGAAGTTCTGATTTTGAAAATGTACAACATTTTCAGCATAGTTAAAAATGTTTAAAGTGAAGTTGAAAGAAAATATTACCAGTTGTCCTACAGTCAGCATGTCATGGGAAATTGGGGCAATTATTACAATGAAAACATGTATTTGATATTATGTCTATATTTGAGGAAAAAAATCCTTAAATATTTAAGGTTATTTAAGGAAATCACCGGTCATGTTCTCCATATTTTCTGTGTTTAACCGTTTTTTTGTTTTCTCCTGGATTTATTGAATTGCGGCTCATCTCGTGTTTCACTGTGAAATCTGTGTTTTCATTCAGGCCACAGCAGAAGCCAACAACTTAGCAGCGGTCGCAGCGGCGAAGGATCTGTACAACAAAAAAATGGAGGAGGTCGGTGGAGACGAGCGGCCTGAGGAAAAGCGAGCGCTCAATTCCCGACTTGCCTTTCCCGTTAACCCCCAACCCCTTCGTCTCCGCGCAGGTCTGCGGGGGCGACCGGCCCTTCCTGGCCCCCAGCGAGCTGCAGAACCGACACGGGGCCATCCGGGAGGAGGCCCTGCAGCTCTTCCGCGGCGTCAAGAAGATGGGCGGCGAGGAGTTCAGCCGCCGCTACCTGCAGCAGCTGGAGGGCGAGATCGACGAGGTGTTCGTCCAGTACATCAAGCACAACGACTCCAAGAACATTTTCCACGCCGCGCGCACGCCGGCCACGCTCTTCGTGGTCATCTTCGTCATGTACGTGGCGGCGGGCATCACGGGCTTTGTGGGCGTGGACATCATCGCCAGCCTGTGCAACATGATCCTGGGCCTGGCGCTGATCACGCTCTGCACCTGGGCCTACATTCGCTACTCCGGGGAGTACAGGGAACTGGGCGCCGTCATCGACCAGGTGGCCGGGGCGCTTTGGGACCAGGTAGGTGAAACTCGCACCTCTAAGCAGTGCCGGATCTACGAGGATGTGGGAACCCGTTTTGGTGGCCCGTCCACTGAAGGAACTGCTCCTTTCTGTTGCAGTGAATTAATAGGTAGTTCTGTACATAATTGGGTAAGAACTGGTGATGACAGCTGGTGATGGTAGATTTAATATGTTGTATGTTGTTCCCCCCAAAAAATTAGTATCACTTTATCATTTTAAATACTTGAGTACTGCTTATGTTCATATTGGACTCTTAAATGAAGTGTAAAGTCAGCAAAACACGCATTTATTAAAAAAATAATAATAATAATCTGTTCCCCTAAAAAATGGAGCCCTGGGCTGCTGCCTCTTTCTAAAGACTGGCCATTGTCTAAGCTACATTTTTACTAAACAATTCCCAATCAAAATGTGTTGATTTCTCCATATTGATCCAATTTGTGATCAAAGACTTAAAAAGAAAAACCCAACAAAACAAAGAGTCATATTTTAAGTGGCATTTCCACCGAGACATTTGTTGTGTTCTGCCAAGGAATGAAATTATAGGTTCTGCAGTTCATTCATTTGTGGTCAGCAAAAAAAAAGAGAAAAAAAAAAAGATCCAAACTCCTCAGCAAACATACGGCTTGTAGCCACTAGGTGGCAGTAAATCATACATTGGGTTCAGTGCACAGTTTCTGTGCGAATGGTAAAAAGGAAGGATGGAAATAAAGAAACAACACAAGGAAGGGAAGGGGTGGAACGACGCAAGGAAAGTGATCAAGTGAGAAAGGAATGACAGGAAGGAAAAGGAAGAGAAGGAAAGTTGAAAGGGTACAAGCAAGGATTGAAAGGAAGGACAAGTGAGAAGAGAGAAAGAGAAAGGAAAAAAGGAAGGAGGAGAGGAATACTTAGACAATAAGAAAGGGAATAAAGTCTGAAAATACTGATATCGTTCCATACGGTCATTTTCCTTTTTTATATTTTACGACCAGGTTAAGTTCCTCTTCATTGTTGCTAATTAATCTGTGTTTTAGTCGTGTATCCTGTCCACTTACTTCACGTGTGTTTGTTTCTCTTAACGCTTCTACAGGGGAGCACGAACGAGGTGAGTTTTCCCGACGAGCCAGGAGAGCTAAAGCATCCGCTCACCAAACGACGACTTGCGTTTGTGTCTGCTATTTTTTGTTTGTTTGTTTGTTTCTAAATTAGTGTAGGTACTTGAGTCCTTTCTTGTTGCTCTGTAAGCATGTCTTGCCTTGTGCAGTAATGCCACATGCCACAGGAGGCATGAGGCAGGTTTTCTCACTCCGACGAAGAAATTGGGGAAAACGAAAATGACGAGTGGTCATCACATGTTTCACGTGCAAAAAAATGTAACTTTTACTCAGATGCCACTGAATAAAATCGATACAATAGATTTTTCATTCTGACAATGACAAATGGTGGTTGTAGCATTATGCGGCGGGGATTTCCTAGAAGGAAACGTGCAAAAAGCTGCAAAAAAATAAAAAAATAAAAAATAGAATCTGGGGTGGAAGATAAATGACCGAAAACATCCAGTCGATGGTTTATATCAAAGCTTATTCATGTATTAGAATGGTCTAGTCAAAGGCCAGACCTGAATCTAATTAGCTATTTAATTGATCCGACTGGTTTTGGAAAATTATACAAAAAAGTCAGTTTCTTGCTGTGGTTGTGATGACCAATGATGCAAATAAATAAAAAAAAATAAGACAAAGACATTTAAGGTTGTGAGATCAAAACGTTAAAAGGTTAAACGGGGTGAGAATTCCTGAACACACTTGAAACCAAATTGGACAATAAATAATCCCAGAAATGATTTCAATGAACATTAATACTGTCAATGTGAGACTATTTTCAACGAGTGCATTGATAAAGGCAGAATAATAAAACTAATAAAAGTAAATTGTAATTTCCAAATAACACAAAACATTTTAAATATCTGAAGTAATTATAACTGGACGAGTGACTAAAATTGATTATGAAGGCTCAACAAAACTAAATGTTCCTTCAAAACGTAGAAATTATTTGGACCCAGACAGGAAAGTGCCAACCAAGACTTTTGTAAAATAGTGTGCAAACTAAACACTTCCAAACGTTCAGTGCCTCTCAAAATGGCGGCTCTTCAGTGACACTGAAAGGCAGCATCTCTATCCCACACACCAGCCACGCAAATGGGAATCATGGCTCCCATCTTTAAGTCGCTGCTCATGCCACTCGCTCTCCTGTCGGCTGTTTCTGAGTGAAACCACAAGTCCTGACTGTTCCTTTACCTTTCCCAGGCTCTGCACAAGCTGTACAATGTAGCGGCCAATCACCGGCACCTGTACCACCACGCTTTCCCCGGAGCGCACGCGGACGCCGCTGCCGCCGCCGAGGAGGAGCGGGACAAGAAGAAGGACTGATGACGACGCAGCAGGGACTCTCTTCTTCTTTTTTTGTTTTTTTGTTTGTTTGGGGTGGACACCACCACCCGTCGGGCACTTCTTTACTCTGACGTCGGCTCCAACAAATCCAAGTCGCTACTTACAAGGTTCACGCATCAGAAACGTCGGAGCGCCGCCGCGGTGAGCGTCGGCCGCCGCGCGGGCGCCAGTTCTTCTTGCACCGTCGTCTTTCACCTTTTCGTCTCTGGGCACTCAGCTGGAGGAGACCTCAGAGTCTGCTGTTTATTTCATATCACACAACATTTCCTCAGTCGTTTTGATGCCGGGGCATTTCTTCTTCTACTCCTTCCTCTCCTCCTTCTTCTTCTACTCTTTCTTCTTCTTCTTCCCCTCCAAGGTGTTGCCCACTATGTTGAAATAACCACTCGTGACAAACGTTCTTTAGGGTCTCGTGCTGTTTATATCCAAGATCTGCAAAAGGCCAAATTATGTACAGTGTGTTGAACAATGAAGCAGCATTATCTGCATGTTGATGTTTCTCATCTTTAAGCTCAGAATTCAGGTACACTTTTTAAAAATATATATCTATATGTTTTAACGGTTGTGACAAAGTGGTGTTGTGCCATAAAATGTAAACGTTTTGTCTTTATTTTTATTTATTTATTTATTTACTTTACATCTGCGTCAGCCCGGGTAAATGCAGACACACGAAGGCGCGGTTGGAGTTGGAGGCAAACGCAGTGCCTTGCAGCTTTCGGTTGCGTTGGAACCACAAACCTTCGATGTATTTGATTGGGACTTTCTGCCATTTTCTACCATTCTGCTGCATTCCCCCTCCGTTCCCTCTTTTCCTGGCAGCCCCCATCAGCTTGGATGAAGAGCATTTGTGAAGATCGGGTTTTTTTTTAATTTGCCACACCGATTCTCAAACGCACCGAGCAATGACTTTGACTAGGCCCCTCGTTACGCTATTGTGTTGAGTAGCTGACCTGCTAAAAGGTGAAATTCAGTTTCCAGTCGTATAGATTCTGTTGAGATTTTCTCATAACAGAATCTCATAAAAACATTTTTTTGTTTTTATTTATTTTATTGAGTTGAATCAACTCTAAGCAACCTGCTGGAGAAAAGCATCCCCACAGCATGACGTTGCCACTGAACCTTTGCATAATTCACCACAATATTTCCTGTTGAGTGAAAACATTTGAACTTTTAGTGCACTACTTGCCATATGTGTTTATTAGCTGGTTGTGTTTCATTTGCATAAGATGCAACATTTTCCTCCCACTTTCAGACACTTGGGACACTTTTTGGGATTCTGTCATGGAGAAACATTGAAGAACGTGGCTGTAAGACGGGACAAAAAGCAGGAAGGTTTCAGGCGGAAGCTTTTCCGAGGCACTGTTTGTTTGACAAAGCTCCAAGAGACGTCGAGGCGTTACAGTGCAGCATCAGTTTCAAGTTCCCAGATCACGACTGGCATCGTCACCTCATCTTTTTTTTTGGTTCTGCTTGCAGCTTTGCATTTGTGCAGCGTCTCTCCTTCATCCCAATGCCTGTGTGTTTGGCCTTTGAAGTCGAAAGGTCGCGCACGTGTGTGTGTGTGTGTGTGCGTTCAGCTTCTATCGTGACAAAGAGGAGGCCGACGGACCCATTGTTCTGTCTCTCGCTGAATGTTCCAGCAAATCCCAGGAATGTAGCCGTCCTGCGCCCGCTGGAGGAGTGGAAGCTGGGTGCTGCCGGGCGTGGCCACCGGCCCGGCTTTGGGAAAAGCCTCCTCATTCCAGACCTCATCCGTCATCTTGAACACGCGTAACTCGAACCCTCCGAGCGAAGAACCCATCGGTCGCGTGGCGACGAGAGAAGCTCACATTCATAAACACAAAGCTTTTGATGGTGACAGACTTTTCTCTCTTTTTGTTTGTTTGAGGCGTGTGGAGGCTTTGAGTTCACTGCTTGGTTTCTAGTCTTCCACAGGGTGTTATCAGCATCAAGGAGGCTTTCAGTCGAATCGCTTCATCTCTTGAAATCCCGTACGTCGAGTGTTTTCGGTGGTCTTTTTCACGAGTCCGAGAAGTCGTTTTGTTTGTGTGGAATGAGATGGAAACACACTTTTACCAGTTTCTTCTCCCTCCATCATCCCTCCTCTCCGCTTAAAGGCAAGTGTTAAACGAGTCGACGTCTTTCAGACTATCTGTTTGGCTTCAGCACACTGCAGAGTTAGTCACAAAGAGATAAATAAAGTTGGACCAAATTGATGAAAACAAACCTTTCAGACGTAATTTTTTTATATATATTTATATAGAATAATTTGAAGAGACTCAAGTTGAGTTTTCAAATGCAGCATCTTCTTGAAGATGGTCAGGCGCATTTGACACCTGATTAAGAAATTTATATACCTGCTATTTATTTTGGGGTGTTATTGGTTCATCTGAACAGATTGTTTTCATTTTACCTTCGGAGTAGGGTAGCCTACATTAAATTTTCTCTAATCCAAACAGTCAAAAGTACGGTATACACATAGATCAAGGAACAGCAGCAACTCCAATGCCAACAAACTAATTTCTAGAGTTGTGGGGGAAAAAATCACACAAACAAAAAAATATATACTTTAAAATACAATTTAAAACAGGAGTGAGTGCTTTGAAATTGAAGAACTTGAGTTGGTTTTGTTTTAGGATATTCGGGGTAGGATTAATGTTTTACAATAATCAGATCCACCACTTTCACAAAACAGCTGAACTGAAGTTAAGACCCTGCTTTTATCACTTCTAACTGATTTTATTCATCAATCTTATGTTTATGTTCAACTACATTCAAACCAGACATATTGTACATCCGCTTAATTGCAAAAACCAGAACTGATTTTGGAAAAGGCAAAGCAGCCCAGCATTGAGTTTCTGATTTAAACACGATTGAAAATCTGTGGACTGTGTTTACAAGTTGCCTCCATCAGAAAGTGGTCAAACATCCTGCCAGCAGCTTGCTGAAGGCTACAAAAATTATATTTCTGCAACCTGCTAAGGAACTTTAAACTTAACACTAGAAAAGCAAGAATGCATGCGAGCCTGAATGTAAAGTGAGAAAATCCACCCAATAGATTTGAACCCAGGCATCAAATCCTTGCTCTTGAAAAATGTATCGACACTTGTGAACAGGTGAAACTTTTACTGAGTTTACAAAAAAATTCTTTTTTTTTAAGTCAAGTGGATTTCAGTGCATATAAAATTATTTCGGAGCTTCTCAAACCACAAGGCTGGGAACTTGGCCTGAAGTCACTCAAAACATCCATTCCAAAAACAAAGAAAGATTCACAGCAGTTAAAAGTTTGCCAGAAAGGAGCATTTCACTGTCATTTATAGAGGATATGGTGAAATGTCCAGTAGCTTATTTTTGTTTTATTAAACACAGAAAAACAAGAACATTCCCGATTTGTCGTAATGTCATGACAGCTGAACGACAGCATCAATTGTGCTTCAAAGTTTCATAAATCACACAAACCTTTGGATTGTCTTTAGTGTACAGAACGTCAGAAAACAAGAGCAATGCATAAGTTTATTTAGTTTATGATGGTTACAAAGCAAAAGGGGAAAAAAAAATGTAGTGTTTAAATAAAAGCAGCTGCCGGTCGTTTTTTTTGCAGGAAAAAAAAAAATAGACGGTTTAGATGATGTCAGCATGATATGAGCAAAAACTGAAAAGATGATGCATTTGATTTTATTAAAGGCACAGTTTTATGATGTTTTGCAGCAAATTTCCAGACTTTCAGACTTAGTGCTTCTCAGTACTAAAAAAGAAAAAAAAAAAAATTGCACCATCATTCACGTCTCAGGTTGGTGGTTCCAAACGCCACAACAAGCAGCGTCCACCGGCGACGTCTTCATGCTGGCGTTTTTTCTCTTCGTCATTCAAAAAGTGAGCATCACTTGAGCTGATTCTCCCTCTTACTCCTGTCAGGAAGTGTCGACTTCTTGGCTGATATATTTATATATATTTGGATCGAGCAAAAAGGCACGGATGTTTTTTTTTTTATTTCGTTTTTTGGTAAGGAAGCAATTTACAAGTCAATCTCGATATCGCAGGCAAAACACGGACCGCTCCCCCAAACTGTCAGCGAAGGCGTTCCTCATGGCGCAGCAGAACTGCCGTGAAATGTTGCCGGCGCAGTGGTACGCCAGCAGCGGCTGAACCACTGCTGGCGGTGTTTGCGGGCCTCCAGCTCCGACAGCAGTTCCCGGCGGTACAACTCGTACAACTTGACGATTTGCTCCAGCTCCTTCATGAACAGCAGCTTCAGCATGCTCTGATACTTGTCCAGCTCGGCCAGCTGGAACAGCTCCCACTTCAAGATGTGGTCGTACCTGAAGAGACGAGAGGGGGGGAAAAGGAATGAAGAGTTGAAAAGTTTTAGTGCACATTGTTATGAGCGCAGGAAGGGGTGCGAATATGACAATTTGCTCAGGGTTTCTGCAGGTCTCATCAACACAAATCTAAAATTTTGAAGAACTTGAGACCGCTACAAAAGAAATTTAAAGACCTGGAATAATGACCAACGTGCAAAAGAAAAGAGTACATTCTATCGAGGAGCAGGAGTAAGACTTTTTAAACAATAAATGTAGCATTATATAGGTTGGAAACAGAAGTGAACCACTGGCAAAGAAACGTTTTCTAGCAAACTGCTGATTGTACACTTGTTCATGAAACCCAAAAAGATAAGCTAAATAAAATCTAATTTTAAAAACATTTTGTGTTTTAATATACTGCAAGTAAGCTAGCTAAGCAAGTTTGTGTTTTACTTTTGTGCAAATACGCTATCGAGCTCTAAAAGTTACATTAGTAGCTAGCAAGTCATAGAATTTAATTCATTTGTCTGGATGCAACTCAAATGTTTGCCTGACAGAAAAGAGAAAAAAAAAAATACCTGATTGATACTCCAGCCACTATAAAAATTTAAAAACTGATTAAACTTAAGGTAAATTTGATTAAAGTCGAGCTTAAATCAACTTAAAATTTACACTGATTTAAGAGCAACTTTTTCTAGTTAGACTTAAGGATTCAGATTCACTGTTACAATAAAAGACAAAAACAATTTCTGATTATTCTCAATTTTAGACTTATTATATATATATATATATTTTTACATTTTTGTTTCAATTTAGTGCAAATACGCTAATAGCAAAAAAAAAAAAAAATGGGACCAGGTTCACTATAGCAACCTAAAGAGGGGTTCAAATAAAGAACAATTGCCACCATGAACTTCAACCAGTATGCAAGTTGTGACAACAATAAGACAAGTTGGGGAGTCTGTACTCACTTGACAGGTGCGCGAGCGTACACCTGCAGCCACTCTGGGATATTAGCCGTGTGGTACGGGTTAGCCGGCACCAGCACCTGCTGCATCCTTTGTGGTTGATGGGTCACAGGGGGCGGCGGCGAAGGCGGCTGATCGTAGCGAGGCACACTGAAAAGAATAATTTTGTCATGAACAGTAAATAATTTATGGAATCACCATACTATGTTTTTGTAAAGAAGGGGCAATTATGTAAATGAAAGGTCTAAAACCCCCAAAGTATTCCAAGAAAAGGCCGTGGGTGGCAACAGGTGGTTTGATTCTTGAACGCACTTCAGACTTGATTGAAAAAGATATGCTGGAAAAATAGAAAAAAATAAATTTACACCCTCTATGTAAGGTGGTGTTAACTTAATGTGGTCTTACAAGTTCAAAAAGAGCAGTTGAGGAACAAACCCACTACTTTTTCTACAAGTAGTTTTGGATCTTATAAGGTGACATTTGAGTCAGAAAAAAACCTTTGACCAAAAAAAAAAAAAAAAAAAAAAAAAAAAAAAAAACCTAGTAGGTCCTTAATGTCTTGAATTAATGAGGGGCTCTAAAAGTTATCAAAAATAATTGCAACAACTCCAAATACTAAAATTTGTCACAGATTTAGGTTCCAAACTGACTTGAGTGTATTCTACCTACCTAAAGAGAAAAACTAAATTGATAGAACTTAATGATTTACAAAAAATTCAACATAAATGGCCATAATAGATGGAAATATGTCACTATAGGATTACCTCGGGGCACATGGATGTCGATACTGTGCTGTTTCGTTAATGTGATCCATATAATAGACGCCAAACTCAGCAGAATACACTTTCTCCCAGCCCGCAGGGAGCCCCTCCTTCTCTAGAGGGTGGCTCCAGTGTGTAGTGTTGGTGTTGTGGTCGATGTAGTACTTCCTGCCACCAACGGTCCAGTCGACAGCCCACCCGGCCGGAAGGAGGTCGTCCTCAGTGGAGAGGCTGGACAGATTCCCCAGAGACCTGGCCTGCGTTTGACCTGTGCCTGAGGAAAAGGTATATTTCCTTCTATAGCAGCAGTTACATCCGAGCAAATGTGCAATGCCGCAGGTTTCGGATAACGTTCCTTCAGGGAAAAAAAAGAGATAATTAAAAAGTGTTTTCCTGACTTGTGTGGGAAACTGTCAGTTAAAGGAAAGTGCTGTTGCTGAAAAGGTCATCTAGTGGGGCGGCTGAACATACAGCAGGGTAAGATAAGGAGGCTGAGAATCGCTGCTAAAGGCAACATGAATGCAGTTTGAATGTAAAACTGAATGCGGGCAGAGTTGTAAGTCATTTTGACTGATGTGACAAATCCTCCAACTGTGAATGTTTGAGGAATAGAAGGAAATGGGAGTGTTTTACATTTGGACAGGAAGTCAGCAGTCTCTCCCAACACTGGCCAGACGCACACAAGAACAAAATGCTAAACCTCCCAAACACTTTCTGCAAGCTGCCAGCTTCCTAAAAGCTACTTTAATTAGCTACCAGCTGCGCTGGTTAGCATCAAGGCTTTGGAACTGGCGAGCGAGCCAGGAAAGAGGCTGAAACATTCTGGAGAAGTTTGGGGAATTAAAAAGGAAATTCAGGAAAATGGGAGCTAAAGTCAGATGCATTCTGCATGAGTGACAGCAGCTGGAGCTCTCTGCCAGTCCCTGAGTGAAGGAATGGAATGCTTTTCTGCGCCAAAGAAGCGTATTCTCAGTCCTCTTTATTCACCTCATCATCATCATACCCAACTTTAGTTTTTCTTTTCTTCTTGAGATAAAGACCCACTACGCAGAGTCACAGTTATGCAACGACCACAAACATTCGATAGAGAAACAAAGCAGTGGGATAATATGAATCAGAAAGAAAGTGAAACATTTTTTTTTTGTCTGTCAGGTCCCATTCATTGTCTGAGGAAACCTGTACATTTTAGTTTTACCTTAAAGTTGCTATTCCATAAAAGTCAGATTTGTGGCGCGCAAGAAAAATGGTTTTTAAACACCTGAATGTCAATCACTGCAGCTCCTCTGTTACTTTTTGGTCCATTGCATGAAATCCCAATGAAATACATTCAAGTTTGTAGTTATAACATCATAAAATGCAAGAACAAAAATTAAAGAAGAACACTTTGGCCACTGGGATTCTAATGCATGAAGACGTTTTGTCATGGATTCACTTACTGTTGACACATAAATCAACTTCAAAATCAATTCCTGGCTTCTTACCATGAACTGGCAGTCAGAAGGGGAAATCTAATTAGATGTTTCTTTTTTTTTTTTAAAGGGGCAGTATTATCTAAATAATTTTTTGTTAGCTTTACATCATGTTAAAAGGTTATTCCTTAATCAAAAACATACCTGCTGGTTCGGGTGTTAAAGACATGCTTGCAGCACCGTTGGACCTCTCCAATCGGGGTTGCTTAGATGTTTGCTTTCACCAAGCGCCTTTTCCACTCAGCTCCTTCAGTCCAGCAGCTGCAGCATTTAGGAAACACCTGGTGCATCTGCACAGCTGCTGAGCTCATCACATTAATGACTTCTTCTTCTTCTTCTATTGCGTTTTCTGGCAGTTTACAAACTTTGTGCGTTACCGCCGTCAACTACCAGACGAAGATGTAATTCAGAAATTCATTTTTTTTCCCAATACATCTTCGAATCTTAAAATAACTAAATTACACACAGACTTATACACTCACACACACACACATTAAATCCTCTCAGCTAATTTTGTATCTTTTAAATATTTAATAAGTGCTTGAATTATATCATGTGATTGATGCGTCCCTAAAAAATTAGACGTACTTACTGAAATTATCCTCCCCAATTCTTTCCTCTCTTTTATATATTTTCTACAATAAATCAACACATGTTCCACCCCTTCTGTTTCCCCGCAATAAAACCGATCACCTGATGGATTATTTTTAAACCACTATTTAAACTAGCATGCCCAATCCTCAAATCACACAAACTACTTCTCAGTGAAACGTTTCGAAGAGCATTTGTGAACGGCTTATCGGGGAAAATGTTGCGATGACTTTAAATTGTGCAGTCAAATTTCTTTTAAGTCATCATGTTTGATAAACACAGCCTTTTTACAAACAGCTGAAGGGATCATGGTTGTATGATTATGCTATAATAAAGTGCTGGGAATACTCATAATACTGCTGCTTCAAGTGTTCATTAAATGTCCCAAAACTGGATCATTGTTTAACGATTTGTAATGACTTAATTGTTCTATCAACAAACCTGGAGTTCTTTTTGTTGTCATGATTGCTATTTGTTGCTTTGCTGATTTAAAACAAAGTTCCCGCTAATGAATTTGTATGAGTTTTACATTGATAAAACAACAACAACAACAACAAAAAAACCAATTGGCTAAAATTGAACGTGGTGGATCAAAACTAGAGGCAAACCAGAAGCTAGTATCACCCAGTAAAATCCTGAATGGTGCGGCAGGCTTGGTCATATTCTGCAACTCTGTTGCTACATGTTATTTCTCTCTTGACCCTCTCTTTCGTGTCTCGTCACGAATAGATTGAAAGTTACTGGATCCTAAAATAATAATGATAAAAAATAGTAATTATAATAACATTATTTTTATTTCCCTGTGAAATCAGAATGTAGTAGTGAATATTGGATGAGCTCTGAGTAGAGCTGCAAAATATATCAAATTGCTCCTACAAAATAGCAATTTGATATGCAAATTACTTGTCCTTAGTAAGATAGGACAAGAAAGTGTGAGGAAGACGAGGCTGTTATGCTGGGAACTCAATATTCAGCTCTTTTTCTGACCAGTGAATGCATCACACCAGTGCTGCAAAAAGATGGAGACTTTCAGCCGATAACGAGAAGCCTGAACAAAGTACAGCGAGACCACTGTTGTAGTCGGATGAAGTAACTGAGCTACATGCTAAAGGAAGATGCTAAAGGAAGATACTAAAGATGGTTTAAAACGGCAAGTCCAAATAAATTAGTAAAACGCAGTTTTTACAGAAATTCGATTCTCACCATTCAATTCTGATTAATGGCATCAAAGCTGGACTAAATATGTTTCCTATATCTTCTCATTTCCCAGTTCTTAAAGAGAAATTATGACTGGCAGCAGACATCTAAGAGCTGATCTCATACTGAAACAATGTTGTTTTTTCTTCCCTTTTTATTTTACTGGAACAAAATGAAAATAGTCGCCTTCAGTGCGGCTGCACTTCTGGTTAAGTAACACGCTGCCTTGCCTTTCATGCCACAAATATTTTGCTAACTAATTATTATCATCATCTGACATCCAGAGCAGGAGGGAGACGAGGACGAAAATGAAAAAGGACGTTAGCTGGCAGTCTGAAATTCAAACGACAAGTAAATGCTAAACGCTCCATGATCAAGACAACGTGCAAGAACACCTTACAGATTAGTGTCAAGTCAAGATGACAGCAGCTCATTTTAGAGTGACACACAAAGTGAAAAGGCTGAGAATGACGCTGCTCTTTGTTCTTACACACACATTTATTTTTGTGATATCCGCGTCAGGATGACATGCAGCTACGCAGCGATCAGAGCATTGGGAGCTATTTAAGACGGAGGTTTCTGACTGTAAATTACTAGTTTGCCAGCAGAAACTTATTGGCAAATGGAGAGTTTTTTTTTTTCCCCTCTAAATGCAGAGACTCCAACACTTGTTTGACTTCACTTCAAAAAGAGCTGTACGATACGCACAAGGCGGGTCGCATCAACAAGACGGCCACATAATAAAAGGGTTTCTGCTTTAGGATAAATGGAAAATTCCTGCAAGCTGCATACAATTTTACTCTCGGGGGTAAATTTACACTCGCAACATACTACTGTTTACAGTGTGGAGTTTACAAATAACAGAATATAATCTGGTTGAAAACATGAGCTAAAATGACTCTTTTGGATTGAAAACCAGTGGTTTGTACTCCTGTCATCTATTTCTGGTTCAAAAACCATCAGTAATATTTAAAATAGAGCACATCAGAGAGGTTACTTTGACTAAACTAGGTGTTAAGTCTCAATATAACCAGCAGGCAGGGATGCAAATCATTGATCAGTGAGTTTATTGAAAGTTGATTGAGCTTTGACAGCAGCCATTTTCTTAAAGTTTATAAAAAAGAGGGCCGACAGAAGTTTAATAACATAAAGGGTCACTTTTTTTTTTTATAACATACTTAATTTGAATAAAACTTCATTCAATTTTAATGCTATTTTGTGACAGCCGTATTAAATACTGACTGAACAAACTAAAAATTGTGGATTTCTTGAATTATTAAACTGAGGCATATTTATAAAATATAACAAAACATTAGCCTTTTAGGTTACCGAATAGAAAAATAAAACATGAATTTGTGAAACACTTAATCTGTCATGAACAAACAGATGTTCATACTGAAGTGTTTTTTTTTCCTGATCTTGTCACAGGATGAAAAAGGTACTTTTCGCTGTTCTGTTTGAAATATGAACACTTAATGGCGCTCATTCAGCTGAACTGCACAGAGCAGCCTCAGCATCTCATTCCAAAATTATTGACGTGCTAATATAACAGAAAGAAAAACCCAAACAAAGAAAAACCCAAACTGGACTCTGTTTGAACAGTTTTTCTTTCTTGCTCTGGTATGGCCCCACCATCTTTGTTTTTGTATCAACTGGTCCCACCTAAGGCCAGCCAGTGGTGCCCTCTTCTGGATGGAAGCCAAACTACCACACTAAAAGCAGATCTAAGTGGACAATGTCAGTTAATCGATCAGAACAACTTTTAATTAAATCACTGAGAATTGATTGCAAGTTGATTAACTGTTTGAAGCCCTATCAATCCTCAGACTTGAAAGCTTTGATTTCAAAGCCACAAAACCTGCCATTAAAAAAATTACATGAGTTTCTCAAATAAGACTTCCAAATGAATGTGTGCAGGTAAAATCTGTAGCCTTTCTTGAAAAATACCACTTTAGTTTATGACTTTTTAATTACTAATTAGAAAGCATTTTCCAGTTACCTGAGGGGGGTCGGTTTGGCACTGGGGAGAGGTGTTGGTGGAGATGTCTTTGGAAGTTGTGTTCATGGTATCTATAGCCTTCAGGGAAGCGCTCCTGCATTCTCCTGGGCTGACGCTGCTGCTGGTTTTCATAATAGGGTTCAGGTGGGAAGTAATACCCAGCAGCATCTCCATTCTCCGACATGGGGCTCACGTCGGTCAGGAAGGATTGCGATGAGCCGCGGTACTCGTGGGACAGGTCTCCCAGACTGCGAGGCAGGTATGGTGGCGCTGACATGCGGTGGCTCTCTCTGCGGGCCACTTCATGTGGCGACCTCTGCACGGGCGAGCGGAGGACGCTCTTGTTACGGGACACAACCGACTCCCTGCTGGTCGCCACAGAGTAGGAAGAGGGCGTCATCTCTGGCGGGGGTCCCTCTGTTCGTCTGGGAATAGTGGGTCCATGGCGGATGAATGAGGGCATAAGGTCTGCAAGACATTAACAGAGGTCAGCTGTTAATGTCAGGAGTTAGAGAGCAGGGTTCCCCCCTGTGCATTATAGGCCTGGCGCCCCACCGCCAGGCTGAACCTTTCTTGTTTATGATTTTAGGAAAAAATTTTTTTGAAAAAGCCTTTTTGTTTTCTTTTAAATGGATTGCAATATTTAACTTTTTACACAGAACCTCTAGAGCATCCCAAACTAACTTCATCCAGTTAGAAGAAAAATGTTGGTCAAATTAAAAGATTACTTCAAACCTAAAGTTAAAAACCACAACACATTAAATAATAGTAATAAAAAACAAGCTGACAGAATAAGCTTTTTTGTGACGTCTTACCCTGGCAGTATTTCTAAGCCCTCATTGACGCTCTTCTGTTTTGTCAACAGATGCTAATTAGGCATCTAAATACAAGAATAATTAGGCTTTTACATCTCTAAGGAACTTAGCTCTAGTTAAGGAGTAAAAAAGAGAGAAAACTTATCTCAATGTTGCTAAAGAAAATACAAGGTGTTATCCTTTTTCATAACATTAAGTAAATGAGCTTTTCAGTTAGCACCGGACAACTTTGTTAGCATGCTAGCTGGATAAGCATACAGTGTACATTACATTGGAAAACAGTTTATAGACCATAATGATGCGGTTAACTGTTTCCATACTCTCGCTTCAATGTGTTGGTTTTACTTTAGCTGGGTAAAGCCGGGCTCTAGTTAACGTTAGCTAGCGAGCTAGCCGCTCAGGCTACTTGTTGCGCTTACTTTTGAGGAGCGGAGACGTTTCCTTCTTCACATATTTCCCTTGTACCTCGGCTGGTTTTGACGCTTCGTTCTTACTTTTCTTTCGTGAGAGCATAACTTAAAGCTTGGTAATGTCGTCAACGAGACACTGGCAAGTCATGGCACAATCCTCCGACGCTGCTACCGTCCTCCGCTCCGTTAACAACCGGCAGAAAGTAAACATTTTCAGCTGCACCGACAGCTAGCAGCAGTTAGCCAGCTAACTGTAGCCACTGGGAGCTACTATGCTGTCGCAGCAGTCCCGTCCCAGCGCGTGTCCTCCAGCCTGGTCACACGCCCCCTGCAGGACGGTTTGAGCACAACCACTACTAGATTCCGCTACGTCGATGTGCGGCGCAATAACTAAAGTGGAAAGAAAACATTCATAAATAAAAGCCTTAAAAGTAAAATAAAAAAACTCAGATGGACTGATCAGGAAGTGTTAGTGGTATCAGAATAAAAGGAGGATGGACAATGCCTCTATTTCTGACACTATTTCTACTTCTGCATTACCAGTATGTCTGTCATAAAATCCTCAATAAAATACAATTTAGTGATTGAAGCATAAAAAAAGTGGAAAAGTTCAAGTAGTAATACTTCGACACACCACAATACCTTCTTGATCCAGTTCTGGGGCTTGTTTTTAAGTTGGCAATAATCAAAAAGTAGTTTTTATGATTCAAATTTTCACCACGTGTGAAGCTTTTTGCAGAATATAGCGGTGGAGCAAGCACAATTGAATCCAAGTTCCAGTCACCCCAATAGATGAGTATGTTAAACAGCAGAAGAAGAAAAACGAGAATTGCATTTTGAATCAGGAAGAAAATGACCACAAACTATCAAAATGCTATACAATACATTTTATTTGCACTAGTAACACAAACCATTTCAGCTCAAAAACATTCATGATGGCAACTTTACATATTGCAACAGATTATAGCATTTTTTTCCCCCTCAATAATAAATAAATGTTAAGTATTGCCACACAAGACTTTCACAGTCCAGTTTCAGGTAGTGTTAAATAAAAAGCAAAAACATTGTCTGCAAAAACTGGTGATTCTGTCCATGATTTTACTTCCTGTTCGTTCTTAACATTGTGTCTACAAGATCAACACAGACATTTGAAGATTTTATAAACTTTCACATCAATATTGCTTTTCTCTTTGGACAGATAGTACAGTGTGCCAAGGTGGGATCGTTTTCCTATTTGTAGCTAACTTTTCAGCTTAGAAATTGTTTAAAAATGATAAATTACGACGAAATAAATGACTAGCCAACCTCGTATTTGGTTCATCAAACGGTCAAGTCTGTCAACCAGCTCGGGTTAAGAATAAAACAAATAGAGATCCTGCATATTTAGCAGCGACGTTTACATACGTCTGAGCCCTTCAATTGTCCTGCATCTGGCTGGATCTGTTGCACAAGCGTCCCTGTCGTTCGCATACATGCAGCGCTTATTTAAAGTTGGCACGACCAAATCCTTCAAAACGTGCCGAGTGTTTCGGGAGACGCGTTACGGGCATTTGTAGTTGTACGGCAGCGACGTTAGCGTCGAGGGGTTTAGGTCCCGCACTATCTTGTTGAGGCTAGAGATCTTCTCTTCCAGCAGGTAGTTCTTCTTCTCTGCGATTTTCTGCCGCTGCTCCGTTATTTCCAGAGCCTCGATCAGCTGAGAGTTCTCCACGTACAGGTCCTTGATCAGCACGTCTGCTTTGCCGTTCCTGTGCAGCTACAAGAATCGGAGAAGTAAAATGTTTACCGGTCGCATGTTAAAAGATTTTCTGTTTGGAAACTAGGTGGACACAGATGAACTGGTAGAAAAAAAAACATAACTGTTTTCTATGCCAGGCAAACTTTCAAATAAAGTGTAAGTAGAACACATTAATATTAATATGGTCTAAATGCTCTTCACAAGTAAAACATTACATATATTTAAATAAAATTTCTATCAGAACATCAAGATTCTTCTGCCAAGGAGGTGAATCTGTTTCAAAATAAAACTGGTCAAGTTTGTTGTAGTCTGACAAAACTGGCATCATCGTCTCCATCTGAACTGTGTTAAATGTCACTGAGCTAAAATACATAACATATAAACAGTTCTTATTCTCAACATTAAGCTGATAAAACAGGACAGTTCTGGTTCTACAAAATAAAGGTACTTTGAAGGTAACAGTTAGTCCTGTCCCTCACTATTTTGTATTGTAAGCATACCTTTTAAAATGTTTCCGGTTTAAATTTGTGGAAAAAAAAATAAAATAAAATGAATAAAATTATTGCATGATTTTCTAATAATGTAAGAAATCCTCTGAAATTTAAATACTAGATTAACAGCTGTTGGAAAATAAAAGCACTTCCTGTTTGATTCATCTAGAAATTCAAGATTTGAAGCACGTATTTGTGATTGTTTTCTTTAAACAAATTCACATTTCCAATCTGAATTGCATAAATATTCATATTCACACCGCTTTATGTTTTTCATTTTGAATTGAATGTTTTTAATAAAACAATATGAAGCTATCCATGTGTTCAATGAGACGGGAGGAAACTGAAAACCTACAGTATCTGTTTTCTCCAACTTGAGAATGTGAGATCTTAAATCTTTTTTCTTTAAAGAAGAAAAACAAACAAAAAAAAACATAAAAAGTTGTGGATTCTGACGGAAACACTTTATTTAAAAAAAAGTTGTTTGAATTTGTATTAAGCCTGAAAAACAATCTTTAATCTCTCATTAATGAAACTGACTTTGACTTTTAAGATTCAGTTACTGGAAGAAAAAAAAAAAAAAAAGAAAGAAAGAAAAGAAGCCCAAACATTTTCACAATCATCTACAAAGAAGCTCACTAGAATTTATTTATCCATCTTTCCACCATCTTAATTTTAGTTTGTAAAAGTTTCTTTTACCGGTATGTTCAGCCACTTTTTAAGGATGATCATATCATACCTGATCCTTCAGTTGAGTCACCTTCTCCTTCAGCAGCAGCTTGACGTTATGGAGTGAAAGCTCGATTTCCCTCATGCGTTCCTCCATCTTCTTCATTTTCCTCTCTCGTTCATCCTGGTGAGAAGACAGACAAAAGTATAGTCAAGAAAATGCAGACGTAGCAAAATGTGATTTTTTTGGTTTTGTTTTAAGTTGAGATAAATAAAGACATGCGACTACTAGAAGAAGGAAACAACATGCAGACATTTGGATCTGAAGTAAAATCATGGACGGAATCGTCGTTTTTTTGCGACGTGGTTGCTTTATTTTCCAACTGATTTTTGCAGAGATTGATTTTTGGTACAATTCTAAAAGTGATCCCTTAAAAATGTAATTAAAATTAAATATGCTTAAAATAATTTCACATATGCCTTTAAAAGAAATAATTTAATGCATCAAGATAAAATAAATAACCCAAAACAAAACAAAAACCACACAACATGGAGGAAAAGAAAAAGGGACAATTCAAAAAATAAATATGGCAATGATGGCACACCAATTAAAGATAAATACTACAAAAATAGGAAGTGAAATAAACATGTGACAGAAAAACTTCACTTTGGTTGCACAGCAGCTACAAAAACAGGTCCAAAACATATTTAGCTACATTTATTGTCTGACATGTAAACATTTCTAGCTTAAAAAGAAAGAAAACAAAACACCAGGCGTTTCACACCATGCAGTAACATGTCGGGTGATTAAATGAAGAGTGCTAGAGGGCACAAAATGCACCTAAAACCCAACTTTTCTCCATGATAATAAAGCAAATAGCCATAAAATTTAGCCTCTGATGATTTAAATACCCTGTAACTTTTATTACAAACAGTAAAAGTGCCCTAATGAAACTTCCCACAACATACAGCATTAAAACTCCCTACAGTTAACCCAATTTAGTGAACTATAACAGTCAACATCTGTCGACTGTTCATACAGAAAAAGTCACATTTTCTAAAATATGTCTGGTAAAAATAGCTTTCAGTGTCATTGTTGTAAATCCACGTTGCTTTGTAAAAATAAAAAATAAAAAAAATAAATAAAAATATGCTCGTTCCTGCCCCCAAGCAGCAGAGAAACACAATCGCACCTTTGTGCCTTTTCAGTCAGGCACATTTGTTCAGGACGTGGGAGAGCAGTGAGCATCACATTTAACGCTCTGATTTCAAATATGTCACAAGAGAGGAGAAGTGTTAAAGAAGCCAAACACGAGGGAACCACCGGCTGTCACAATCCACCAATCCGCCTGCAGGTGTCTGCGTGAGCGACCCGTTGCTCCGGCGGCGCCCCCTGGAGAGACAAGGCAGGAACACTTCACCAGAGGTCTACCCTTTCCTCCAATCCTCAACACACACACATACAGTCGTGTTTTCTTCACTTGTGGGGACTGAGCTAACCTCTAATCCAAAAAACAATTTCCCTCATGGGGACCAAGAAAATGTCCCCACAAGGAACAATGGTCCCCAAAACCCCACATTGTAGACAGAAATAGGTTCCCATAAGGATATAAAAACTTGCTACATACAAGTATTTTATTTATTTATTTTTTGTCAGATGTGTTAACTATAAATCTATTCTATTAATTAGAACTAGAAAATCACAGAAAAAAAAAAATCGATGAAACTATGAAAAACAATAATTATGGCATTGGATCCTGATTTCCACTGTTATAAAGTGCCTCACACAGTATTTATTTATTCTAAATTGTATTACTTTTTGCTCATTATTTAACAAACACACATTTTTATGTGTTTTGTGATCAACGGAGACAAAGCGAAAGGAAAAAGGATGCATGACTTTCACTGTCTTTTGGGTAAAAATCCAAAAGGTGTGGAGTGGAAATCTAATCAAAACACTTATATAGGTTTAATTAAAACCCAATTTAACCAATGACACTGAGAAATCACTTAACTACTTAAAAAGTGGAGATGCATCGATCTGATATTAATGAACGTCCGGGTTCAGATATTGAAATGTTTATAATTTATCCTCAGTAAAAAAAAATTAAAATGCTAAGTTGTTCAGTGGAGGAATCAGAGGTTTGTGCAGGGCAAACATGTGGAGGAATTTGGTCAAATAACAAAACTAAACTGGCCTCCATGCAAAACAATAGAAAAAACACCAATGCATTAGTTTTCTTATATTTTAAAAAAATATCCACTCTTTTGTCTTGGATCATTTAAAGTCCTAATTATATATTACATTATATTTTTGTGGCTTAAGAGATAAATACTTCTGTAAGGCACTGCCAAAATAGTTCATAGTTATATTATCTGAAAATTGATGAAGCTTTAACACCA